TGGTCGTCACTAGCCACCGCGGCACCGTCGCCTCGCCCACCGCGGCCGGCGCGAGGACGAGGTTGACGAAGAGGTCGCGCCAGTTGGCTCCTAGCGCCGAAGGTCCGATGTGGTGAGCGGGATACCGAGAGGGAGGGTGGGTGAGGGCGCGAGAGGGAGGAGGGGCAGCGCGCGCCGTCGCGCCGGACGAGCAGCTTCTGGGCCGCGCTGCGGCTGAGGTTCGACATGTCGGGTGGGCCCATCGCCTTCCACTCCTCGAGCGCGGTGAGAGTCTCGTACCCCACCCCCGTGGCGTCAGCGGCGAGGAATTCGCGGAGCTCCGCCGGCGAGCCGAAGCTGCCGGGCTGAAGCTGGCCGAGCGAGTCGATGCACCCCGAGCTGTCCTGGTCTGACACCGCGAAGCCGAGCAGCACCCGAAGCCCCGCCTCTGGATCCTGCGCAATGGAGCGCATCACGTAGTCAATCACATCGGCGGGTCCCATCTGGTCCGCGCCGACCTCGTCCGGGCCGAGCGGACGCAGCGCGCTCTTGTGGTCGGTCTGCAGGCGCGATCGCAGCGAAGCCATCAGGTCGTCGTCGGAGGTCAGGCGTGGCGAGGGCGCCCTCTGGACAGCGGCACGCGGCATACAGCCGCCGCCGCGCAGTTGCAGCGCTTCGCCGATGGCGACTGCGGCGAGGAGAACGCAGCAGCAGCTTCTACGCCGCATATTAGGAATTCAGGCCCAGCGATCACAGGGGAGTGCGGAACGCCACTTGGTCCTATGCTTCCTCTCGGTCGCGCCAATCGTCATCGATGCCCGGCCGGGGTCCTCGATTTCTTTAGTTTTACGATGTTATGAAACAAGCCCACCGACACTGTGGTGGGCGCGCTGCGGCCGCACGTCTACCTCCGTCATAGTGCCACGACGTGCGGCCTAGATTTAGCACACGCGCCTCAGCTTGCATACACTCATACATTGGGTTGTCATCGCCTGTGATAGCGAGATAGGGCTAGCCGCAGGCAGCTAGCCTGTGAGGAGAGCGTCCATAGACACCTCACTTAGACCCCACACACGGTCTCGTCCGTGCCTCGCCGGCCGGCGAGATTGCTAGAGGCGGAGCGGTCTGCTCTAGCCTAGCACGTTACTTCCTGTCGTCTGTTGTTTGTTGTGCCCTTGTGTGTTCCCTTGGCACCGTGGAGTGCTGGGGGGGGCGACAGGGAGGATGTGGCCCTGAGTTATGTGTACGCCGACTCAGGGTGTGTGGCAGCCAGCTGGCTGAGTGTCTTGTGAGCTTGTTTGTGTCTGTGTGTCGCTCGTGCGTGTCGTCATCATCTGTCTAGCGTCCACCCATACCGCGTTGGTGTCCAGTCCGAGCCTGGCTGTTCTTCACCTTACTACCTACCTACCTAAGCGCGAGTACTCACTCACTCACAAATGAGGTGACAAGTGTGCGCTCGTTGTCGACCTCCGGTGTGAGGTAAGCTTAATTTCTTCACACACACAAGCAACAAAACAAACTGGTGAGAGGGAGATTTTTAGCAATACCAAACAACTCTAACACTCACACGTCATTTGGGGCCTGGAGCCCTGTTCACGCGCGCGCGAGACGTGCAGACAGGGTTGCCAGGTGAGAGCGAATGGCGCGGTTCACGCCTCGCACAACAGAGAGAGAGAGAGATGCGCTCTGCATGGTGGGACATAAAAGAGAGCGAGTACTTGGGCGAGTAGGCCGTGCGGTCAACGCTGCCGCGCGCGACTTTGCGCGCGAGGCGGCGCAGCTTGAGAGCGGCGGTGGGCGAGAAGCCGCCGCCGAACGTCTCGTGGAGCAGCAGGTTGAAGTTGTTGCGCTTGACAAAGATCGCGTCGTGGTAGAAACCGCGATGCGCCTGTGGCTGTGCGCCTGTTTTGTCAAAGTGGTTGGTGTGGGGCAAGCGCAAGGGGGGGCAACCGAGAACCCGTATGAGTGAGCGTGTGTTCCTCCGAGAGTCCGGAACCGTCTCCCCGAGGGACCAGCTCTCTCGTTCCAACAGAGGTTAACTCTTGGCGTCTTGCTTTTTGGACATTGGAGTCGTCTCTCGCGTACTCGTTTGCCACTTCGTGCGACGTCGACTCGTGCGTTGAAAGCTCTTGCGGCGGGCGCTTTCTGCGGCAGTGCGTTGCCCCTTGAGCGCGCGTGCCCCCACGACCTCTCACACTGGGGTCTGGGGAGAAACCCAAAGCAAAATTATAACAATAACATGCGAGCTGATATGAGAGCAGCGCACCGGGCAAGCTACGAGTGCTTAAACCAACTCATGTGCCGCATGCGCCGCGCATGCGCTGAGAGGCGTGTCTACACACAACACAGCGATAAACACAGCGCCGGGTCTCGCTCGCCGTCATCCCAAGTGCGCTGGCTCTCCCCCGCGCGGGTGGCGGCAAGCCGTCTGGCGCTGGCCACATGCGCCGGCGCCGTCATCACTCCATCGGCTGAATCCATCGCCAGTGCTGCATCGGGTCGGCCGGCGGCGGCGCACCCGATGCCGAGTCGGCCGGCGGCGGGCGAGGCGCCTACGCCGTGTGGGCAGCGGGGAGGAGGAGGGGGGGGAGGAGGAGGGGGGTGGGGTGGGGGGGGGGGGCTCACGAACGAAAGCTGGTGGCATAAAGGGCCGGCCGCCGGGGGACGACCGCACCGCGTCTTGCGGGAGGTATGGGGAGGTATGGGGGAAATATGGGGAGATATGGGGAGATATGGGGAGATATGGGGAGATAGACCGCACCGCCTCTTGCGGGACGGCGTCCGGTGGCGCGAGGGGCGGCGCTGCAACCTGCCCGGCGGGGCGCTGCTCTGCGGTCGGCTGTCCAGAGCCTTGCCCAAGCGTCTGCCCGGAAGGAGGCTGTCCAGGAGCCTGCACGGTCCGGCGGTGAAGGTAAGGGTAAGGGTAAGGGCAAGGGTAGGGGTAGGGAGGCTGTCCAGGAGCCTGCACGGGGGCCTGTC